GAGTACTTGTAACTTTGCTCCTGTGTAAAGGAATCTGTTGATGGAAGCGTCCTCACTTTCACTGGCCCCCTGCAACCTGCAGGATAGCCCAGATTCCTCTGCCTGCTGCTCAGGCACCACCTCCTTCCCAGGCCCATCTCCCGCTCCTCCCCTGGCCTCACACCTGCCTTCCTGCTGGCTTTGCCCATAGGACGTCTCCTGGTGCCCCACATTGCCCTGAGCCCCCCTGCGTCCCCCTGCACCACCCTGTGCCACCCTGTACCGCTGCGGGGTCGCTGCTTTCACCTGTTCTTCTCTCTGCCTGAAGTACACCACGCCCACCTGGTGTGCCGAGACTCACCTCGGTGGCCAGTATCACAATTTAGAAAGTACAGCCTTTCAGAAAGGAAGAACCGAAGTCCTCTCTCATTCTGCCACCCAGAGATACTTTACTGACATAGTGTTACCTGTTTGTGGGCCTTTTTCTATTTATTTGGAGATGCTGTTGTTTCAGAATCAGTCTGTCCAAGTCTTGGGCATCTTTTCTAGACCTTCTGTAGCTTTTATGTTTCCCTCAAGAGATTTTTAACTCATGAAATCTGGCTTCCCGTCACCAGTGTGACTCGTAAGCTTTTTTTCTTTCTTTCCTTAGTACGAGTCTTTACCCTCACACACTTCCTGGGAAGGAACCAGGCTTTTCTTTTCCCTAGAATGGTAACTGTATTAGGACAATAGGCCCGGCCACTAATTAGGTGAGTTTGGGCCCTCCGCGCCCTACTCTCCGAGACCCAGGAAAAGAGATCACTGGCTGTCAGCTATAGAAGCATAGCCTAAAAGGGCCAAAAGGCCAGTTGCAGAGGGCTTGTTGGGAGGGAGGAGGGGGATCTATTTTCAGCTGTCACAAAAGAATAGTTCCCATCACTGACTTTAATGACTAGAAAATCTTCTCCTAATACCAGAGGCTCTCGTGTGGATTTCAGGACTGTCTCTGCCCTACATGCCCACCATGCTACCTGCAGTCCATTAATGGTCTTCATGAGACCAGGTCTGTCTGTCTCAGCGTGAGAACCAGCCCTGGACTTCACACTTGCCTCTCTGGAAGCACATGTCTATTTTGCTTATTTGTGGACATTGGATATTCTTCCTAAATGTCTGTATTTAAATATATCACATAGGTGGTGGGGAGAGGAAGGGAGCGGAAGATTTCAGCATCATGCTGTGTGACCCATTTTGGGGCGGTGCTGTGGCCCTGTCTGGGGAACCTCTCTGCTTTACTCTGTGCAGGTGGGGGTGCTTACAGATCTGCATCAGGGAGGAGCCTCCACCGTGATGGAGCCTGGCTCCCTTGTCAGCAGTCTTTCCCCCTGCGTAGTGGCTTCTCTTAGTCTTCCGTGGCTCTTTGAGGCTCGTGTTCCTGGTCTTCTGCCTTTTCCATTGCTCCTTAAAGCTTCCTCCTGTTTCAGTTGAGATAGCGCTCTAGAAGTGCACTCTCCTACCTCTTCTCTTCCCACCTTTCTCACCCCTGTCCATTCTCACCCCTGTCCATGTAGAGTCACAGTGGTTCACCTAGACTCTTAAATAGATTAGATAGCTCTTCAGTCTGCTAAAGACATTGTAACAAAGAAAGGTTCCCGCGGTAAAAAGCCTACTTTTTCCCACTAGACTGGGAACCAAACAGGGATATTGAGGTGTTGGGGTCCTGTTTCATACTGTAACCATCTAGAAATTATTTTGAAACATCAAGTTTTTTCATGCAAATTTAATTCTCATTTTGCTTATTTTTATCGTAGACTTGTCACTATACTCCCTTATCCTAGAGGAAGTGGGGGAATTTAGCAGCAGAAGGCTTCTTCTGCCCTTGGAACATCTAAGAATTACATGTCCCCACAAGCCTGCTTCCGCCCTGTTCTGCAGTGCAGAATAGATATCCTAAGGGAAGATCAGTCTAGTTACAACCTGCCATAAAGAAAAAAAAGTCCTCCTTGCCCCCAGGACAACCTACTTTACCAAATGACACTGGGAAGGACAAACATTGGTGATCAAGGTTGAGTAAGTGGGCTTAATGACAGGATCTGAGGCCACCCATGTAGAGCTCTGAGTAACTTACAAAGTCCTCACAGAAGCCAAATTCAGAATGGTATCCACTTCCCTCCAGCCAAAGGGTTCATAGCTGTACTTGGTCTAGAAAAGAGCCTCAGCATCTCCTTCATGCATAGGTCTCCTCACTGGCTTCAGTGTCGATGAGGCACCATTAGATTGAACATGTCTAAAACTAGTGCTCGCCTTGGCAGAGCACATCTACTAAAATCGAGCGACAGGGAGAGCGGTAGCGGTAGCATGACCCCTGTGCTAGGATAACGGGCCTAAGACTAAGCTCCTCATGTGTATGTTTGGCTGGACTTTTCTTCTGGGATTCCACCTTCCTTTCTTTCTCTGCCACCATAGTCAACTCTCTTCTATGACCTAACCTGAATCCTAATCTAACTAGTCTGTTTACAAAGTATCATTTCAACCTGCCCTCTCTTCTTTCCATGTCACTGTTACCTCTTCTGAGAAGTGGCAGAAGCCAAAGTGTTCTCACTACCTCTAGTCTCACCACTCTCCAGTATATCTTACATATCTCTGCCATAATTACTATCACAAAGTATGATCTGATGACAAACCCATTGCTTATAATGGATTCCTGTTCCCCAGCTCTTTAGTATCAGTCCTGGGTTGTCCTTGCTTCTTGAGACTTAGATCCCTATACATATGCCCTTCCCATCATTTCTTCACATTCCTGTGGAGAAGACAGTGTTTTGTTGTCTTCTTCCTTCTACCCCTTTCTTTCTACCTCCTTCACTTGCTCTGACACATAAACCCAATTAATGGCTAGCCTTAACTAGGTTAGTCAATCTACTAAAGTATTACAACAACAAAATCCACCTTACCATGGTAGAATGAAGCAGTATATCCTTGAACCTTCATGATATGGCCTTTGCCTCCCTCTCTGGCCTGTTTATCCACAGTGCCCCCGTATTTGCATCATGTTCCAGTCCTACTGCGCTACATATTTTCAAGTATTCTATGCTGTTTCATTCCCTTGATCTGAAATAGACCACCTCCCCACTTAAACACCAGGTAGACCTGCAGGCTCAGCTTTAATTTTGGCTTCTCCATGAAACCTCTCGATCTCTCAAGCAAGAGATGATCACACCTTAAACATCTGTATTCCTTACCCACCTTGAATTTTGATAATTATTTTCACTTTTTCCCCATTCATAAATCTTTGTAGAGCGATTTAATTATATCTGATAAATCCTAAGGAAGAGCATCTTTGAAAGCACATAACCTGTCCATGGCTCCAGGCTTGTATATTGTCTTTTTCACTTTCATGAGGTATTACTCAGTTTTGCTCAATTTTCTAATTTTTTGCCAACAGGATTGGTTTAAAAATTGAATTTCATTCCAGTGTGTTTTTGTGGGTGGGTGGGTATTAAAAAATAAAACAGAGGGCCGCCCCGGTGGCCCAGTGGTTTAGCGCCACCTTCAGCCCGGGGTGTGATCCTGGAGACCCGGGACGGAGTCCCACATCAGGCTCCCTGCATGGAGCCTGCTTCTCCCTCTGCCTGTGTCTCTGCCTCTCTCTCTCTTTCTCTCTCTGTCATGAATAAATAAATAAAATCTTAAAAAAAATAAAAAAAAAAACAAAATGTCAGATGTGGTAAGTATGTGACAAAGGGGGGGGGGCATGGAAAGGGGGCATAAGAAGTGCCAAGAGTTAAGGTGGGGTTGGTCAGGGATTAAATAGGTTAATCAGGATTGTGGCTTTGCCAGCCAAGTAGAATGAAGAGGGAAGGAAGGCCCATTGAGTAGAAGAGTATAGGGAAATTGTTTTACTGATGGACCAAGAAATCTCACCTGGATAAAATTGTGCATATTTTCATTTGTGTATTAATTGTCTGAGTTTCCCCTTCTATGAAATGCCTTTTTAAAAAATTCTTACCTGGGGACGCCTGGGTGGCTCAGTGGTTGAGCGTCTGTCTGCCTTTGGCTCAGGGCATGATCCTGGAGTCCTGGGATCGAGTCCCACATCAGGCTTCCTGCATAGGGCCTGCTTCTCCCTCTGTCTGTGTCTCTGCCTCTCTCTCTGTGTCTCTCATAAATAAATAAAATCTTTTAAAAAAATTAAAAAAAATAAAAAATTCTTGCCTGATTTAAAGTTTTATTTTAAACATTAAGCCTGTAATCTGGCTAGAATTTTTATATATGATGCATGATGGGAATCCAATTTCCTTATTTTCTTAATAATTAGATAATCAATTATTAAGTAGTTTATTCTCTCCCCAGTGATTGCTGTCCAAGCCCCATCATATATTGTTTCCATACAAGGGTGGGTCTGTTTCTTGGCTATTCATTCTACTCCATTGGTCCACTTGTCTAATCCTGTGCCTCAGTATGTCATACTGCCTGAATTACAGTAGCTTTAAAATAAAACAAAACTTTTATCTATTAATCTATTATCTCTTACCTTTTTCTTCTTTGGGAGATACCATGGTCTTTTTGTATGATGATGAGTATGATCCAAGAGGACTGGGAAGTTCTTGGCTCTCCTTGGACTTTTTCTTCTCCATGTAAAATTTAGAATGATTAGGGTTCTATCAAAGAACCCTGTTGAATTTTTATTAGTACTTCATTGAATTAATATATAAATACGGAAACAACGGTCGATGTTAAAATAATTCTATCTGTATTTCCCTATTCATGAACATGGTATATTTCTCCATTTATTTAGGCCTTCTGTACTGTCTTTCAGTATAGTTTAAAAATTTCTCTGTAAGTGTATGGTAACTTTGTGTTAGATTTATTTCTAGATATATTTATTTTGTCACAAATGTATATGGTATTTTTAATTACATTCCTCTATTGGCATTTAGAAATACTTATTTTGTATTTTGATTTTTAGAACTATCTTGCCAAACTTTCTAATTTTGTTATTCTGTGTGTGGATTCTTTGGAGTTTTCTGTGTAGACAATCATGTATAAATAATGAAAGATTAATTCCCTTCCAATTTTGTATCTTTCATCTCTTTTTATAGCTTTATTTTAGGTCTATTCTAGTACAAATATTTAACAAGGTGCTGTGTTTAATAGATACCTTTATCATATAATGAAGATAGCTGTTTCATTAGCTTAACAAATTACCTCTTCTCTGTTTTTTTGTTTAGCAGTGCATTTTTGACCATTTAACCTATGAATGATTTTATTGTTAGTCTCTGGGTTATATTAGCTAGTTTATAAAAGGTTGCTTCATGATGTTAATCACTAGGGAGCATTAGGAGGAGCAAACACGTAAAAATAGCAGGTTCCCTCAAAAGAAGCCACATTGGCAAACAAAGGTGCCTTAGAATCATCAGCGGAGTTTCCAAATATTCTCAGATGCTCATGCTCCCATAGGGAGTTTGACTCAGATCCCTACCCCTGCCCCTGCTCCTGAGGTCTTGCCCTTGCTACTGCCTTTTCTGTTGTTTTCTTGTTTTTGTTTTTGTTTTTTTAAGATTTTATTTATTTATTCATGAAAGAGACACAGAGCGAGGCAGAGACACATAGACAGAGGGAGAAGCAGGCTCCCTGATATGGGACTCAATCCCAGGACCCTGGGATCACACCCTGAGCCAAAGGCAGACACTCAACCACTGAGCTACCCAGACTCCCCCCTCCCCCCTTTTTTTTCCTGTTTTCTTAAAAAAATCTCTGTGTGTGTATTTACAGTTCTTTTAGGGATCTCTCTTAGGGTATTTATAGTTGTTTCTGAAGTTTTCTTTTCCCCATAGAGTCGTCATCTTTGTTCTAGCTGCTTTTTTCTATTTATTCTGTTTTTCTTATTAGATGCTTTCTTCTGATTTCTGGTGATCCTCAACAGTCAGCTGACTTATGAGTGGAGCCACTAGAAAGCTGTTGGAAGCTTTCTGTACTGAAATAGGGCTTGTCGTGAGTTAATGCAGATAAACCCAGGTACTGCCATTTGCCCTTATAATTACCTCTTTTCTCTTGGGCTGGAGGTCAGCTTTACCAGAGAAGACTCCATTCTCCTGTAGGGGCTAGGCCTGTTTGCCCGTGTTCCGATGGCCAGATAGGGCAAGTATACAAACTTCACTGAAGACCCTGGTTTCAGCAGGGTGCCCCACCCCCATACTCTCTACCGGGAGGGGTCAGAGGGCCGAGTGCTTCACCAACAAAACTTTCCACTCTTTTCTGTTCTCACTCCCCCGTCCAGAGTTACTTAGTGCCCATATTTCTCAGACTCTGATGGGTTCTGCAGGGTAAATCAGATTGCTTCATAGCTTTTCATTACTGGCTTAGATTTGAGCTTTCTGAGGACTGCAAAGCCAGTTACTGCTTGTTTACCTGCTTTCCAGCTCCCAACATTTTGTTGCAGTTTTTTTCCTCTCCTGTTATCTTAGGCTGTGTTTTTGAAAAATCGAATTAATACTCTTTTAGTAGGGTTCAGGAGAGATTGGAGCTACATTTTATTCAATTTGCCATCTTTAACTAGATTTTACTCAATTGTCTGTAAATAGAAAGTTCGCACCCTGTCCTTATTGACATTTTCTGTCTAGTGCATAGATTTGATGTTCTAAAGCTGTGGTCTAATCAACCAGAGAGCTTTCTCATTAATTTTCTCTCTGAATATTAGATAAATAAGTCACTTCAGCTTTGTGTATTTTAGGCCTTGTTTTGAGGAAAATAAGAGCTTAGTCACTGACTTAACAAAGTTAAGTCTCTTACGATAACAATTTAAAAGTCAGTAGGCAGCAAACCCTGTGGTTCAGCAGGTGGTGGTTCTCCACAGAGCAGAGCCCAGGCCAAGGGAGTCAGTGCTGCCCACCGAAGGAGGCCAGTGGTTTCAGGCACTAAGCTGGAGATGACTCATAGGCTGTAGAGGAGTAGGTCTGGAGGAACCCAGGAGGACTTTGGTGGAGGTAGAATCTCCCTAAACAAATCTAGTTTGGTTTTCTGTGAGCTACTTTTCCCTCGTGTTTAGCCCAAGCCCCCAAGGTTTCAGCTGGACTTCTAGTCCCTTGTCCCACACTCACCATCTCCCCAAGTGGGGAAGGAGTTCAGTCCTCTGCCAGGGAATGAGAGGGCGAAGCAGGAGTTTGCCGGGTGGGCAGTGGGCAGCAGGCTATCCTAGGAGGGTGCATGATGGGGAAGCATGGTCTTGACAGAACGTGGCTCCTTAAAGAACTAGCAAGTGGCCTGCCCTCAGGCCTTGGTAGGAAGGAGGTGTGCAGCAGTGGCAAGGGGCTGGCCTCACCGGCTGCCAGTTGGGCGTTAATGGATTTTAGTGATGCTGTCTTAATACTTTATTGAGGATAAATACACACACACACACACACAGACATTTTTCATATAAAAGATTTTAAAGGTGCCGACAAATGAACTCCCATGATCTTGGGGGCAGCCTGCCCTCTTCTAGGCAGCAGGTAGGCTTATCTTACATGATAGTTGAGTTCTCTTCTGTAGCCATATTTTTTAAATCTATTTTTTAATTTTTAAAAAATTTTAAGTCACCTCTGCACCTAACGTGGGGCTCATAATCATGACCCTCGAGACCAACAGTCACATGTTCTACCAAAATGAGCCAGCCAGCCACTCCCCCCCGACCCCGTAGCCATATTTGAAATGAAATTTGTACAAGTTGTTAACTGCTTGAATTTCTAAAAGGACGTTATTATAAAACTTTGTTTTTCTTTTGCTTTAATCTGATGCAGTGATTGAAACACAAAATATATGGCCCATGGATTAGGAAATATCAATGACTTTGTGAACAAAGAGTTGATAGCACAAAGGGATTTTTTTTCCTGTTTTCATCTAAGTCAGTGCCTTTAACCTGTTTGAATCTTGGAATCCTTAGCAAATCTGAAGAAAGCTTTGGTCCCTCTCCCCATAAGAACTCCAGTATACATGCCTCCTCGTCTTTTACAGAATTTCAGAGAATTCACAGCCACTTACGAACCCCTGTTCTAAGTTAAGAGTGAAAACCCAGCCACGGCCATCTGGTAAGGTACTTATCAAGGCCTCACATCTGTTATCCTCAACCAAGTTAGTCCTGCCCCATGAGCACCTGTTTTGCTGATTAGACCATATACTGAGCCCCCACTCTTCTGCCATACTTGCTCAGATACAATACCTACCAAATTTTATAATGCATGTGTGTAATAAGAAATAATAACATAGAGGTTCTGAGAATCTTCTTCATCTTGTTGATGTTTCTGGATAGTTTTTTTGTTGATGTTAGAAACTTGCTACCAAAGTCCTTCAAAGAACTGATCCTAAGAGAAGGACCCTCTCTGAGGGCTCCTAGAGACAAATAAGCAATGAATTTCCACCCACCCCGCTCCATGATTGTCTATTTCATATTTTGTGAGTGTAAGAAGAAAACAGAAACTTGATGCCCTTTTAAAACTGGTTTTGACATATTTATGTGAAAACAGTCCCAAGTTATGGGAATATGAGGCACAGGAGAAGGTTTGGAGCAGAACCTTCTTACCCACTAGGAATGGTGATGAATGGAGTTAAAAAAAAAAAAAAAGCTTAGAGTACCCATGCTGGAAGATTAAAAATGGAAATTCAGTTTCCTCTCAAAAATGGGCCTTGCATTGTGTCACTGGGCACAATGGAAATAGAAGCCAGAAGTCATAGTTTATTTTGAGAATGTTGTAGAACATTTGTCGTCCCCCATTAGATGATTGTGTTATGCAGCACTAGGGACATCCTAGAACTACACTTGTGCTCTGACCTCTACCATCATCTACCACCCGCTCTCAGGGAACACAGTCTTTCCTCGCTGTTGCCATATATATATGTTCTTATTCCAATCTGATCCTCCCTCATCCCCAAAATAATCAGCATGAACAGAATGAAGCAGATGGCACAAGCCTTCTTTGGCATACTGGCAGATCTGTATCACTCACTCAGTATTTTTAGAATCAAGGGGATTGAAAATTATGTCCTGAGATGTTTTGGGGGAAGACTTAACTATCTCTCCAGGGTGACAGGTGTTGAAATATTACCATATTTAAGACTCAAATGCAATCTATATGTCAAGTCACAGAATAGACGGATTATCATCAGGACCATCCCTTTGTCAGTTCTCTGTTAGGATTGTTGATGGCTTGCCAGATAATAGAAAGTTAATCACAAGTCTGTTTTAAGGATGTGGCCAGAAAGCGCATCAGGTTTCAACCAAAGATTGGAATCAGCGGCAACCAGCCAGTACTGGTCATGTACATGGTGATGGGGGACGTTGTATTATCCACACGGTTTATTTTTTTAAAAATAGCTGAGCTTTGATCCTCAGCCACAATGAATTTGTAGTCTGTTGAGAAAGACTATTTTTATAGGAGTTTGTGATAACATCATGAAAACAGTGTAAATATTTATATTTGAAGGTCCACATTAATGAAATACACAGTCGTGGTGAATGAAATATCAAAACCATTTGTGAATTTGAATTCATCATTAAAAACTTTCTGAAGAAATTAAAGAATGTTCATTATCATATAATTAATTCAGCTCAACATTTGAGGACCAACTTTGCACTTAGTGTTAGGCTAGGTGTATTTAACACATAGACCTAAAACATACAAAGTCTTGGGAAAAGACATTCATGAATGAACTATGGATAAAAATGTTTAAGTGACATTTTTTCTTTAAAAGTTCCATAGGAACACAGAGAGGAAATAGGTGTCACGTTTAAATAAAATATGCCAAGTCTAAAAGTCGCTGATTATATACCTACCATCTTTGAAGGGTCAAGGAAAATGCAGGTAATGATGTTCATGACTGTTGAACTTTGGTAGCTGGAAAGAGGATCTGGGAAAAATTTATTTAGTGCTTTTTTTTTTTTTAAGTTTCAGTTGAATAGATCTTACTTTTTCCATCAGCCAAAGTTGATACCTGTTGAGAAACAAAGAATGCTAGTTTTTACTTGCAGTGTCATAGGTCTTTTCTGCATGTGTGAGTATATGTGTTTTCCAGACTACTATGAATTATTCCCACTGTGAAAAACGGATGGTGGGTTATGTAGAGGGAGGGAACATGTGTGTTGTTTGCCTCGTATCCATAGCTGAGTGGCTAGAACCCTGTGCCAGTTGTGCAGCTGATGGCTTCTACTTTTAATCTCAGTGTTTCATAAACAACCTATATTTGTGTGGTGTGTTTTAAGATTATCCACGTATTTCAGATCCCTGCTGTTCCAGCTGGTTCCCCCCAACAGCCCATTATATGCATCAGGTGGTGTCACAAATGAGGAAACACACTCAAGATGTAGCTAACAAATGGACAAACTAGAATTTGAACTGGGGCATCTTTCCACGGTATTCATAGAACAAGTGACCTGTTCTACGTAAACCCCTCCCACGCTTCAGGGAAACACCTGAGAGTGAATCAGCAGTGCAGTTGTGTCTGAAGGAAAGCAGAACCTTGCCCTCCTCTCTCTTGAGTGTGAAACTGAGCTATGCTACCTAGTATAGCAGCCACTAGCCACATGGGGCTATTTTAACAATAATTTCAGTTTCTCAGGGTCACACTTTGAGTGTTCAGTTGCCGTCATGTGTATGACATTTCCGTCATCACAGAAAGTTCTCTTGGACATACTGGTCATCTCTCCTAAAGCAAGAGTGGGGAGAATGAATTTAGTGAGCAGAGTTGAAAGAAGTGTATTCAGGGGGTTGGTGGGAAAGAAATCCCCCACCACCACACCAGTTCTCCTGAGGGCCTGGTGTTATTCTGAGTTCAGCTATAATGAGAACAAGGAAAAGATAAATTTCAGATTTCATACTGTGTGTACATTTTCAGCTTTTTGGATAGACCTGGAAAGAACACAAATTTCAAGTGAATGCATTTAATGACAATGATAAATTGTGGGACTTTTATAGCTGGACCAGTATTACGGCCAGACTTAAGCTGGATGAGAAGTAGGACACATCATGAGACCTGGCAGCAGAAACTCGGCCACACAGAATAGCATTCCTGGAAGGAGTCATTTGGTCTATGGCCACAGTTGTTGGGGATGTCTCAGAGGAGGGCCTCGGGCATGAACTGCAGTACTAGGAGGGAACGAGGAGTTGGGGATAATGATCTCGGTTCAAGTCACACTTGGTGACAGAGGAACAAGGGATGTGTGTGCTGCCATCAGAAGGAAAGTTTGGTGCCAAGATGCTGGCTGAGAACACCCATGTCGCCAGCCTTGGATCAGAGCTGAAGCTGCAGGTCAGAGTGCGCACATCGGCTCTGAGAGTTCCAGGCAGGTGGGGCAGGATGGTGAGGGCTGTCTGCCTGCTGCTGGCTCCTTAACTCTGGACGCTAAACACATCTGAGCTAGTTGATGAGGAGCACAAGAAGTTTGCTGCAGTTTTTGCCCATTCCAAAAGGAATGTCTGTTTTCCTGTGTACATGTGCTGTGAGGGGGTACGTTTAAAGATGCTTAAGCTATTGTGACAGTAAAATTTCACCAGACTCCAGCTTTCTGATCTGAAAGTAACCGTGAAAAGGTAAGTAAAAATGAACTTTTAACAATAAAGAGCACCTCTAAAGACTGGACAGTAAATGAATGTCTACAGGAAACAAGCACTTGAAGACCTGCTGTGATTGCTCCCTTTACCCGTGAGTGCTCTGCTTACTTGGCAAGGCTCAGAAAAGGCTGGCCTGCGTACAGAAGCTACTCTAGTGTGTTTAATGTAAATATATAGTACTCTTTTTTTTTTCTTTTTGAGTATTGGCACTTGAAAGGTTAGCATCCACTTGCCTGAGAATTACTCTCTCTAGAAAAGTCCAGGATTCTAGGGAGTCACAGGGGTTTTCTGCATTGTTCAGGACTGCCAGAGACTCTTCAGCCTCTTCACACGATGGTTCACTGGTAGAAAAAGAAGAGCCTGGGTTTGGGTGACTTGCCTGGGTTGGAAGTGTGGTGGCAGTTTTGGTTTGAGACAGGTTGAAGCTGGAGGAAAAAGCAGGCCCACCTCCTCAAAGTGGCCCTCCGGGGTGGGGCTGCGGAATGAGGAAATGTCCCCATAAACAAAGGAGAAGAGATTAGGAGAACAATTCACTAGAGGATGCTATACCTACACCTCTGACCACAGCCCAGCCACCATTGTTTCCGTGGGAATATTTTGTCTCCCCTCCAAAGGCACCGCATCAGTGAACTAAACTGGCTTTATTCACATTTTGTTGACACCAGAGTTGAGACCTTCAGCATGGTAACCTTACAAACAAATTAACTTGGATGTATACAAATTATTTCATCTCATCCCGTGGAAGTTTAAACAGGTGTGATAACAACGTATGCTCTGCTAACAATGAGCAAAGAGGAATAACCCACAGTTTGAATAAGCAGAGATGACTTTTGTTTCTGTAGCAGTAAACCACTAATGCATGAGGGAGATTTTTTTCTTCTTCTTTGAATTGGTTGAATGAACCTCACACTGACCTGAAGTCATGATCTGAAGTAGATAATGCTGTGTCTATGGAAATAGCTGTCTCTGTCAAAAGGAAAGTGTGCTTCATGTACCATCAAAACACTGTGCTGGCCTCCTCGCCACTTAGGACTCACATGCAGAAGGACCTCTGGAAGCACATGGGGAGGAGGGAGACTTGTGTCCTACACTGGAACCATTTAAAGAACCATGTTGATTCTGGGTAGTTGATGCTGAACTGGTAGGGGAGGAAGAGCATTGTTTCCAAGTGGCTAATCCAAGAAAACTGTTCCTTTTCTTTCCACAGATGGTCTGGTGATCCAGAACATGTGCCAGCTCTAGTGATGCAGATTACCTTTCTGCTTCTGGAACCTCATCTGTGCCTCTGACATTCTCCTCCCAGCCTGAGACTGCATATATAAATTGGGATGTGGGAAAGCAGGAAGCAAAGCTCATGGTAACTGAGAGGCCCATATCTGGGTAGAACCAGGCCCAGGACCACGACACTGCCTCTCCCCTGGTCTGGAGTTCAGGCTGCCGTGGCTCCGCTGATGTGCTCAGCACCATCCTTCCATTTGTGCTTAAATGGCACAGCATTTGGTCAGCGCATCTGAAAAGGAAGGTGTGAGAAGTAAAGCCCATGGCCACCTATCCCTGCCAATTATGTGGCAAGACGTTCCTCACCCTGGAGAAGTTCACTATCCACAATTATTCCCACTCCAGGGAGCGACCTTACAAGTGCTTGCAGCCAGACTGTGGCAAAGCCTTCATTTCCAGATATAAATTAATGAGGTGAGAGGCTCTAGAAAAGGTATGCACTTTTACACATACCTTTAAATGGCTTAGCTAGCCCTCTGACCAGACACTGCAAGGGAAAGTGGATGCAGGATGCGGATGCACTTTAGCCCTTAACACGCCACTGTTTAATGTGGTTTTCTGGGAGAGTTTTTGCATGTAGCGTCAGTTCATTCTTTCAACAAGTATTTCCTGTGATCCTATGATATGCCAGGCATAAAAACAGAGAGATGAAAAGACCCATGCTAGAGAGATAGTCAGGCAAACACAAGTAAAATGCAATGTAAGTTCTTTGACAGAGCTATGCAGGTGGAGGAAGCTGTTCTCCACAGCTTGATGAGAGCTGGCGAGGCTTCTCAGAAAGGTAGTCTAGGCTGTGACATAAAGAATGACCAGGAGGTGGACAGAGAGAAGGTTCTGGGGAAGCCTGAAACCTTGCCCTCAAAGCACACAAGTAGAGAGGGTAGCAGTGGAAGAGGAACGGGTGAGGCTCAAAATGGAGGCAAAAAAGGAAGCAACTCCTAACAGGCCTTATCCGCTGTGCCAGATGGTTTATTTATTCTACTGAGTCCAAGTAGTGAAAAATGATTTTGACTGGGATATTGGGAAGATGGTTCATAGTAATTTGGAGGAGAGAAAGGCGGCAAGTTGATGGATATGAAGTATGATGTTTAACAGTCCAGATCCTGACAGGATGGAGAGGAGGCAGCATCTCCCAAGTGTCAGCATTTGGAGCCTTTTCTTAACTTAGCGGCAGTTTACAAGTGGAATTCTGTTGGGTGTACAGGTGCTGAATATATGCATTTAATTGATTTTCAGAGGTGTCCATGATATGTAGATGGATAAAAACCATGGTTTTAGCACATCAGTCCTTTAAAAAAAAAAGTACATTTAGTTTGAATTATTTCTTGAATGACTGTTAGTTGCTCACTTCCATGAGAGAAATGAATATATGAGCTGTAGCTTCTACCTCCAAAGGTTTTTATATCCTAGAAAAGACAAAGCATACATAGCACTGCTCAGTTGTGTGACAGTCTTGAGAACAGTGGTTGAATCTGAATGCTGTGTGCTGTGTGTGAGGTACACGTGCAGAATCCTCACGAGCGTGTGCTGCTTTTGACACCTGATTAAGAGAAATGTGTCATTTGCCTTTAATCTTCATGGTGTGAATTTCAGAGCTTCAACTTTCAGACTACCACGGGTGAGAGTCAAAATCTGGCCAGAGAGGATTCCCCTCTGAGTGGTATTAACATGGACCACATTTTTAAATCCTGGAGTGCCCTTGGAGGAAGGCACCTGAAGGGTTTAAAAACACATAAATTAGGCTCCTGGCCCTTTAGAATACCATTGTCCTGATGATGTGATAGGATCTAGTTTTAAAAATAAGGCTATAAATGCATAGGTATTTTAAGATTCCAGTGGGTTCTGTACAGAGGCCAGTATGTAGTTGCCATAAATGTATAAGTATTGAGTGCCTACTGTGTGCACCGATTTTGTTGCAGAGCCTTCCTGTTTTGCAACGAGCCTCTTGTATGTACGCGGTAATTCTTCTTACCCGAGCACTGAAAGCAGCGTTTGCTGAAGTTCCCCCACAGTGAGGCTGTGATGACAGTGAATGCAAACCGAGACACATACAGCAGATGAGTATTTGAAGACAGTGGAGCTACCAGATGATTGAAATGACAGGAATTAGGTGGGATTACTGTGGTGGACCACACTGAAGATGTCTTAAGCAATTAATTTAGGAGCTGGTGGTTCTGAGCAAGGGAAACAACTTGCCCAGTGAACGGTGTGAAGTGAGGCCTAAACGGGAAGCAGTGTGCTTTTGCAAGAACTGCCTGCCCCACCACGGCCGCCAGCTTGTGGCGCCTCTCTGGCCTGAAGCAGAGGTCTAAAACAGAATGGAAGGGATGCTAGATGGTGGGGGATGCTTTCGGCTTTTTGTCTATAATTTTCACAACAGGCAGCATTCCCTTCCATGTCCCTCCATTGCAACACAAGCACCGTTTTATTGGCAGAGGTCGGAGAAAATAACTTGCTTAACTAGAAAAGAGAATGTGGGTCCCAGTACGGCAGGCGGGGGAAACAGGTGGAAACAGCAGAAGGCTAGAAAAGATGATTTGGCCAGGCTTGATGTGCGCAGTGACCCCTGAGGGATTCTGAGATCATGGCCATGACCCAGGTGCCACCCTTGGCGCTGCCTGAAGCACAGACTGAAAACCTGTGGTTTCGTGGCTTGTGAGGCAAGAGGAGAAGTTGAGGGGAGGAAACCAGTTGTTGAAGTAATTTCAGCTATAAGCTGATCATGTTCTAGATCAGGACTGTTGCATGAGTGAGGGATCGATTAAAAGGGGAAGAATTGGGTGCCAGACAAAGGAGAGTCAGAAAATTCAGAGGAACAGCAGCTGGTAAAATGTGAAAAGTGGTATTATTGCTCAAGGAGAGGTTGGTTGACCTGTGCCTTTCTCCTGTGTAGTCAGGAGTAGGACCCTCCAGAGTTGTTAACTTGGCATTGATCTGTCCATGGGTGATAAATGGAATTGAATCAGATCACAATCTTCCACAAAGAAAGAGAGAGGCATGAATAGAAAATCCAGGGCACAACTCCAGGGGTGTATTCACTAGCACCGGACCGAATAGAAAATAGCTTAAATGCCACGTCTATAAATCATTCCCCCTCACATTTATTCCTGATGATGTATCTGTGGATATCTGGTATTAGAATGGGGTGGTTTGCCCTCTAATGAGGCTTGGAAACCCCGTCTGCAATGTATTTCAATACAGTGGAACCTGGGGCCACCGCATCCTCTCCCATCTCAGATGCCCACGTACTGGCTCCTGGCCCTCCACATTGTACCATTTTACATATCCCTGTGCATGTTAGCTCTCATGTCCTGGAGGGAAAGGGTGGAGCTTCCTTTTCTTTCTATCCCCTGCATGTAGTCAGCTACTTTATATATATATATTTTTTAAGGGAGCAAGCCAGGAGATACAAGGTTTTGCTTTATTTTTAAGAAAATGGCAGTTTGGCTCAAATCATCTTTGTATTTTTGAACTGGCTTCTAAAACAGCTGCTACTGTGTAGACCCCTTACCAATTCTAACTCTAGAAAGGGATCTGGAATGGACAATATAGGGTAGAAGTTTGGGTGAAAGGTATGATTAGTACACTTTTGACTTAAATCCTTTTCTTACAGAATGAGTTGTTAGAAATTCTTTTGTATCCAAAGCCACAAGTTCAATTGCATCTCAGAGGCGTGCAGCCCTGTCTCCAGTTCTTCATGATCCAGCCTACTTCCTGGAGGTCACTGGTAATTTCATTGGCAATTCAAAAGGACTTTTTCTAGAAGGGCTAAGCTGCTTCAACAGTTGAGAGTTTTTCTTTGAGCTTCCGGGATAAGCCTTTGTCATCTTGTTGATTTGAAATTTCAAAATACCTGTTTTATATTTGTAAAGCACAAATCAGTTCTGGAAAACCATCAGAGTTCCATTTCTGTTTTAGTTCCACTGATTTCCTAAAATCTAAACTCTGTGGGTTTTTAAAGATGCAGTGATATGAGGAGATCCTAAGTTCATCATTCTTAAAACTTTAAAAAGGTTCATTTTAATAAGTAAGCGCATCATATACGACGCCAAGTCCTGCATGTTTCCTTCCAAAACAACATCCATAATTACAGCTTGTGGCTTGTAAGTACAACATAGTTTGCTTCACGTCCATTTTGACAGTTAACTCTTTTAGGTATTCTGTCTTCGGGGCCTCTGGAGCCAGGGGCTGCACACCTCTGAGATAACTGATAGAAAAGCACTAAATAGAAGAATCAAGACTTCAGCATGAGGCTCAGACTTGGGGCACAGATGGCGGCTGACGTTCTGGGTCCAACTGAACACTCTCTGAGGTTAAGGATAGACTTCAGTGTTCTTTCTGTGGCCTAAACTTTTTGCCTCAGTCAATAAAGACCAAGCAGGAATTGTACTTAGGAACAATGACCTAAAATCTGGGAAGGGGACACAAGGTGGGTAAGGGGTTGTGTGTAGAAGGTAAATTGGGTCACTTTTTGGGAAAGCACTGAATTTTCAAAACTATAGAATACCCATTTTGACCCCTTCTTGAAAAATCACATATTTTTAAATGTATTTGTTTAGAAATCTTCATGTAGATGAGGAAAATACATTTTTCAGGTATGAAAATTGTACTAGACCTTTAGTAGTGCCTATTTTTTTTTAATTATAAAGTTACGTATTTGTAGAATATGGAAAATACAGAAAAGCTATTTTTAAATGAAAATCTTTTATGCCAGCATCTAGAGAAAACTTTTAACATTTTCCTATCATTCCTACACATTTGACTATTAAAACAAAATTGAGTCTATTACGAAATGTTTCCTTCTGCTCCTAGGCACATGGCTACCCATTCGCCCCAGAAATCTCACCAGTGTGCTCACTGTGAGAAGACATTCAACCGGAAAGACCACCTAAAAAACCACCTCCAAACTCATGACCCCAACAAAATGGCCTTTGGGTGTGAGGAGTGTGGGAAGAAGTACAACACCATGCTGGGCTACAAGAGGCACCTGGCCCTCCATGCGGCCAGCAGCGGCGACCTTACCTGTGGGGTCTGTGCCCTGGAGCTAGGGAGCACAGAGGTGCTGCTGGACCACCTCAAAGCCCACGCTGAAGAGAAGCCCCCCAGCGGAACCAAGGAAAAGAAGCACCAGTGCGACCACTGTGAGAGATGCTTCTACACCCGGAAAGACGTGCGGCGCCACCTGGTGGTCCACACAGGCTGCAAGGACTTCCTGTGCCAGTTCTGTGCCCAGCGATTTGGGCGCAAAGACCACCTCACGCGACATACCAAGAAGACACACTCACAGGAGCTGATGAAAGAGAGTCTTCAGTCTGGAGACCTTCTGAGCACCTTCCACTCCATCTCTCCCCAATTTCAATTGAAGGCTGCCCCGTTGTCTCCTTACCCTTTAGGAGCTCCTGCACAGAACGGGCTTGCAAGTAGCTTGCCAGGTGAGGTACACAGCCACCCCCACAACCCCTCGGATCAAACCTCCCAGCCTGTACAACCGCTGCCAGAGCCCCTCGCCCCCCTCCACCCCGTAACATCTCCCAGCTCTCCTCCCCCACCCCTCCAGAATCACAAGTACAACACCAGTTCTACCTCATACTCTCCACTTGCAAGCCTGCCCCTCAAAACAGATACTAAAGGATTTTGCAATATCAATTTGCTTGAGGACTTGCCTCTGCAAGAGCCTCAGTCACCTCACAAGCTCACCCCAGGTTTTGATCTGGCTAAGGGAAGTGCTGGTAAAGTAAACCTGCCCAAGGAGCTACCTGCGGATGCTGTGAACCTAACAATACCTGCCTCTTTGGACATTTCCCCCCTCTTGGGCTTCTGGCAGCTGCCCCCACCTGCTACCCAAAATGCTTTTGGGAATAGCACTCTCACCCTGGGGCCTGGGGAGTCTCTGCCCCACAGGTTAGGCTGTCTGGGGCAACAACAACAAGACCCCTCACTAGCCATGAGCACCATGAGCCTGGGCCAGCTCCCTCTTCCTCCCATCCCCCATGTTTTCCCAGCTGGCACTGGCTCTGCCATCCTGCCTCATTTCCATCATGCATTCAGATGACTGGTTTTTAAAGCGTACTTTTCTTATTCTGGAAGGTGTTTTAAGAAGCATTTTAAACATCAGTTATACTACAAGGAAAGATACAGAAAGCAGGACTGGGGATATGGATTATTCAGTGATGATGACTGGCTTGAGACGAGAGAGTTCTCGAACTGCATGTATTGTGCCAATCTGTCCTGAGTGTTCATGCTTTGTACCAAATTTAATAAGCAAGTATTCTTTAATGGAACTGCAAATATCGTCATAACCGACATCCAAACGAGGGCTGCTATATATAGGTGTTTGTCAAATTGAATTTAATCGTAAGCCATGATCATAATGTTAACTAATTTTATGTGGCACTGCCTAGTAAGGGAACTATGGAAAGTTTGGATTTCTCCAAGATGGGAGAATTTTTAAAATAAGAAAATAACCTTTATATTGCATATTATAACTAGGCTGTGTATTTCTTTTCAGGGATTTTTCTACCTTCAGGGTTGGATGTAGTTTAGTTACTATTGCCATAGCCAACCTGTAGTTTTACAGAAACAATTTCTTGTGGAATAATAGACGTCTCCATTTTAAAAAAGCATTTTAAATGTAGTTTGAATATTTTCCACAAGATGCTACAATGTGAGTTATCACTTCATTTATCTTAAAGACTAAACTGGCTGTCAGTTACATCTGACAGAAAAAAAAATCACTGTGTAACCAGGTTAAGTGGTAAAATAATCCAGGCGTCAGTCAAAAAAAGCATTTTGCTGACTTTAATATTGATTATATTTTTTAACAGGAATTTAAGAAAATATTACTGGAATTTTAAAATATATATATATATTAAACAAGAATTTCTTTGCTGTCTGGCTTAAAATACTACTCTGCTTAAGTATTATTTTTAATCACCAATAAATGCATTTTAAATTCATCATTTAAGTCAAATATTAGTTTTATTCAAAAAGGTTAACATTTGCAATGTAACTATAATCTATGTCTTGAATTTGGTATCTAATGAGTTTTAAAAACATAAAACCTAACCTTTTTTTTTAAGCTCCTTTGTCTTTTGTGTTTAGAGGCTTTCTATATGAAGATATATCTTACATATAATAAACTCTACAAATCCTGCATACTTGACTTGACTGATTTTTGCATACAACTGCACCTAAGTGACCTTGCAGATGGAGATCTAGAACATTGCCTGCTCCCTCCCCAGCTCCCTCATGCCCCCTCCTGGTCATTACTTCCCCCACAGAAACTACTGTTCTGACTTCTTTTCAGCCTCTATTAGGAACTACCTTTTTGAGTAAATTAAGATTTAAGGCAGAAGCTCATACACTTAAGTTCCTAGCACTATTTATTTCTAAAACTTACTGATACAACTCTTGGATCTTCCCATAATAGTATGTCATTTATTTCTGATGTATGTGTCAGACTACTGGCTACTGGCGTTTAGTCTACCCTGGACTACGATGTTCCAGTTTTACAGTGGTCCTTACCATTACTTTCTAGTGCAAATTAGAAATTTATTCCTTATTGGGATTTCTTCAGGAAGTAGTATGAGCCCTTGAATCTGACCATCCTGTTTGTTTTACCTCTTATAAGGGTGGGGGTAGTTGGTGAGAAGGAAGCTTGGAGTACCTCTGCCCATCAAAGAAGCCTATTGGCCAGTGTGAGAAACCCTGACCCACAGCCCTTACCAATGAGCTCAGGACCATGAAGGGCAGCAGACAAGTGGCCCAGGGCTTGGCTGTAGTATATGAAACTGGCCTGGGAGAGCCTTAAAGTACAATTTAATCTGGGAGCAGGAAATGAGACCAAGGAATAAAGTTTACCTCTTCAGTAGCAATCCACTGGGATGCTGACCTCCATTCCTATATCCGCTGTCATCCCTCAGAGAAGGCCATCTGCCAGAGCCTGGAGAGAGAGAGTACTGGCTCGCCTTAGCAGATCTCCCAAGATCCATTTATAGAAGTTCCCACAAATACTTTTATATGGCTTAGTAGTCTTCAGTCCGTTGCAGGACACATAACCTGATTTCCCTGAGCATAAACAGCTTTAGGTCCCAAAAATGTTGATCATATGGGTTTCAGGTGCTGTGTTTGCTGCACTACAAGTGGGAGTAGGTTGGGATTCTCCTACTTGAATTTAGACAGGAAAAATAGCTTAACTCATGAAATTCTCTGAGGTCAAGAAAAAACTTGAAGTTCATACATGAAAAAACATGAATTAAGTATAAAGAACTCTACAAAAAGAGTTTATTCACCCTGAGGAAGGCAACCAGAAAGAAGGAACACCTCCCAACAGAGCCATATAAAACCAATGGTGGGATGAGCAGCTGACTTCTGATTTGGCCGTGATAAATAAATAGCCTGAGTCCTCTTAAGAGTATCCTTCCCACAGGGTAGAAAGGTTATTGGAACTTGTCCCTCCATGGCAGTGTTTTCCCCAAAACTGTGTGCACTGGTGTGAGACCATTCTTCATGGTATACAGATGGACACTTAACTAGGAGTACTTAGTGATTAATTAGAAGCAAATAGCAAAACAAAGATTTCAGATTATGCAGACTGAAGCTAGGTAAAACACGATTTTCCTAGTAAGCAAATAATGCTACTAAATAAAACGTTTCCAAAAGACTGTTTTACTAAAAGGTTCTAACATCAAAGCGACATTTCTTTAAAAACCTATTAAATGTAATTAAAAATAAAGTCAACCACTGTCATACAGGTTGATGTGTTGTTTAATATCATTTTGAAAATTTTAAAAGGAGTATTGAAGAAAAGGTGAATCTCATTTTTACTTGTTCTCCATGATGTCTCAAGAATAATCATGGGCTTATTCCAATTTCCTCTCCCCTTAGGTGGCGTTCCTGGGTGCACAGCTGTCCAGGTTGATGAGTTAAAGGGAGACAGTCTGAAAACAAACAAAAGGGCATTTACTTTAGAACTTCACTGAGGATGTTAAATAATATAGGCATCTTTACATTTTTAATTGTTCTAACAAACAATTCACAGTATCAAGAAAAAAGTCTCCATAGCAGCCCTATTCATTATCAATCTCTGGGAACTGTCGCTTTTGGGGGAAATGTGTTTGGGAAAAGGGACTCGGTGGTAGCCTTCCAGAGGAAAATGAGGACTTATTCCCCTTTCCTGTTACGTCGAGTCAGAAGCTGAATATCATTTTCAGACTATATGTTTAACAAAAGAGTATGTTTCAAGAGCACACATTCTATTAAACCAAATGAAGGATCACCCAAATTTCTCTTTGGTTTGCCTGCTATGGATTTGTTCTCTTAAAGGCTTACTAACTGTATCTTGCACATTCAATGGTCAGGAACACCTGGATTTGAAGTTAATTTTTGTTTTTTTCCTACCTGGACTCTAGGAGTTAATCTTTTTTAGAAGATTTAGTAAATCCTTGTCTGAGTTTTGCTCCAGAAGCAGGGTCCACTGCTAATCCTTTGCAGACATAAACAGATTTGTTATTATGTGAAAGCAAACATTAGCAAGAAAAAAAAAAGGAATGATTATGAAATCCTCACACTGGATTCAAAAGTCTCTCTTCCTTTTTGTTTTGTTCTGTTTTGTTTTGTAGCTATAGACAAGTATACTCAGTCTCCTATCCTGGGCCAAATAATAAGGAAAATAGTGACCATCTCAGGCATCTTCTCTCCTCTGCCCCTAGCCCTTCGCGTACTCAAGGATGAGCCCTTTGGACCAGCACCTCGAGTGGCCCACCATTTAAACAAATTGACTCTCACCACCTCTCCCCACTGCTGTCCTGGCTTTTGAAATGTTCCCTAAGTATATCATGTCTTTACAGTTCTTTGCCTGCTCTCATTCCAGAAAGGGTTTGATAAGCCTTATAGAAGCATGAGATGCCTTTCCTCCCAGGAGTTATTTACATAGCGATGGACTCATTCCACAAACAGGATTCTTTTCCTTTGTGCCCAGCAGCAGTATTAGATATGAGGATGAAGGAGTTTATAGATATAAGCATGCCATGCCACAATCTGTTTTGTACCACGTGGTATGGGACAGGAGTCTCAGAGAAATCTTTTTTTTTTTTTTTTTGTAAAATGAAACAATTGCCCTCTGTTCTAGAGCTCTCCATTCTATTTAGTGTTTTATGAAGGGGGGAGTCACCAAACATCCCAAGGAAATTGTCAATCAAACTATCAAAAGACACAGGAATAGAACTTTCAGTGTTCATTTTACCGAAAGATCTATAAGTTTTATGTCTTCCAAAGAATCAGCAACTGACCCTTTGATAGTCTTTACATTTGTTACATAATTAAACTAGCCAAGAAGGCGATGCTAGTATGGGCAAGATGCTTAGCTTCATCAGATCTACTGGCTCCAGAAATAAAAGCAGAGCCCACCTCAATAAAGTTGTACAATGCACTTCACTAAACACATAATTTAACGTAGCTCTAGAACCCAGAACTAGATTTTTGTAGGGCTCTTAGTCTTCCTGTATAAAAGTACTGCAGGAGCTGCTGCTTGGCAGGGCCTTCTCGGGAGATCAGTCACTTTGCTATCCAAACCCTGGAGAACACAGCCACTAGTTAGACCTACTGACTAGGTTATAAAGTCACTTTCCACCTGAACATCAGAATCTTTGTGAGAATGAAGGAAGATCTAACCTTACTCCAAAGCAACTTCCACACATAAATATATATAAAAATTACATATTATATATTAAATGTATTTATAGGTCATGGATATTATAGATAATTATTACATTATAAATGCATATCTCCTTAATGTTTACATTTCTGATCCAGTTTTTCCAAAGCAGAAAAGGATCTGGTCGGTTCCACCCCTTTCTATGGCGCTACTTGAGCAAACTGCTTAGACTCTCCGAGCTTCCCTTGCCTGTAAACCAGGAATCTGAACAGCACATTTACCCCTGTGCCATTGTGAGGATTAAATGAGTTAATATATGTAGTGCTTAGAAGAGTGTCTGATGTAAGTTTCTGCTATTATTCATGAAGAAGGGAGTTATTTGGCATAGCAAAAAAGTAGAAGCAATCTACCTTCCCGACACAAACAAGGAAATGAGCTAAATAAGTAATCTTGTGATACTATGTTTTAACAAAAACAGCACCTCTTGTGCCATAGGGAAATCTTCAGAGAGTACAAATAGAAAAAATGGGAAAAAATATTGGTGTTAACAGTGATCATGTCAGGATGTAGAATTGTGACTTTTATCTTCTTCACACTTTTTCTCCATTTTCCAATTATTTTCTACACTGAGCATTAATTTCCTACACGATACTTTTTAGAAATGTTCTTTCTCTAAAGCATTTTTTTGCAGACAAACAACATAGCTAGAAACGAGAAGTTCCCAGGTCATCACGATTGCCTAACTTACACAGGCACGAGTGCCGGAGGATACATCACCAGCGTCTGCTTTTATCACAGATAGTCTGGGCGCCTCACTCAGTGTTTATGGCCCTTGTTGCTGTAGGGCTAGCCTTCCAGGGTCCTAGGACTGAGTCTCGCATGGGTTCCCTGCTCAGCAGGGAGTCTGTTTCTCCCTCTCCCTCTGTTCCTCCTCCCTGCTCATTCTCTTAGATAGATAGATGATAGATAGATAGACCATGCATAATGATTATGTGATGAATGAATGAATCCTCTGAACATCCATGGCAGCTGTGAATCAACTTCATAAAACATCACATGCTTTCTTGTATTAGAGATCTTCCTGCACATGCTTATCTTCTCATTAGATTCTAGAATGGATAAGAATTGTGATTTACACACGTGTCTCCCCTGACTGTGAATTTAGAACAAAATGCTGTACATGGAAGGTACTACATGTTTCTTTTACTCAAGAGAGTTTAAGAATGAAAGCCAGAGTTTTAGGGAGTTAACTACCAGTTAGATGAAAGACAATAATAGGATTTACGTGGAAGGCGAGTGACACCAAGTGGCCTAAACTACTGATTATCAATCTAGAAATAGCAAAGCCCAGCAACTACAATTTTTAAAAGACTCTCATATTACAAATAGATTAAGACTGAGCAGAAGAGAAACAATGGAGAGTAAGATGCAAATCTGGTTCACACATGAGCCTGTTCATATTAGTGAAAGGAAGTGCTTTTCTCCAAGCCTTAAATATTTTTGAGAATTCACCTCTCCTCGATTTGCTTCTTATATGTTCAATATACTTTCTCCTCAGAATGATTCCAAATGAAATATGACTAATTTAAAGACACATCAACACTGGAGACTATTTAAATGTAAGAAGGTGAGGGGCACCTGGTGTCTGACTCTTGACTTTGGGTTGTGATATCAAGCCCTGAATCAGGCTCCACACTGAACAGGGAGCCTGCTTAGGATTCTCTCTCTCTCTCCCTCCGTTTCTGCCTTTCCCCACCTGCTCTTACACATGCTCTCTCTCTCTAAAATAAATAATCTCTAGAAAAATATAAACGTAAACAGGTAAGGCTACAGGAAAACACAAAAAATTAAATTTTCAAAGCATCTTAAACCTGAAATAAAACAAAAATGATTTCTTAAAGCTAATTAATATGAAAATTCTAATTCACATAACCAATAATTCAGTGGGAAACTATAGAATCAGGATACCTACTTTCTCCCATATATTTCAAGTATCCACTGAACATCTCACATGTGCCACGAACAATTTTAGCCAGTACAATTAAAAATAGGCAAAGTAGACAGATCTCAAACTTTTTGAAACTTACATTCTTTTGTGGTGGTAGGAGACAAATATGCATTAGATATTAGATGATGATAAATGCTATTAAATGAAGCTGCAAAGGGAATTATGGAGTGTTTGATTCAGTTTAAATGGAGAGATTGGGGGGCCTCAATCTCTGAGGATGCCACTCAGCAAAGAACTGAAGGGAGCAAGTAGAGAAGATTAGTGGGGACTGGTTTGGTTTCTCACTGAAGGAGCAATCAGTGAGTATGGGCCCTAAGCCCACAAGTGGCAGGCCTGTTATGGTCAAGGAACAACACTGAGGCAGTGGTGGTATAGAATGTGCATTTTACTTAGCAACATCCCAGCGGTCCTACACCACCATTCCACATTATGTGTCAAGAGCACACATAATACTATTTTACTTAGACCCACTAGCTACTAATCTATTTTCTAATGTATCAAAATGATGTCTTTACAACGGTCTGCCTAATGTCACATACCAGGACATGTCAGAGGATGTGTCACATATACAGGGATACATCACATACTAGAACATAAGACTTCCGAATTCTTGTTCTTATGCTTTGCTGCTACTTTAAAGAAATTACTTAGTCCAAGGAAGAAACCTTCTTTTATTTTCAACACTATACCTGACACACTGTCTCCTTCCATTTCTAATCTTTTTGTGAGTTTACTAGGCCAGGGTATGAAGGTCCTAGATTCCACTGCTGTTCTCTGATAGAACTTTGTACATTGTCAGAGTTCTCTAATCACAATTAATGAAGAAATCTTCCCGCCAGGGGCACCTAGGTGGCACAGTTGGTTAAGCATCCTACTCTTGATTTTGGTTTAGGTCATGATCTCAGGGTCATGGTATGGAGCCCCACATCAGGCTCCGTGCTCAGCATGGTGCCTACTTGAGATTCTCTCTCTCCCTCTGTCCATCCACCCCCTGCTCTCTCTCTCTCTCTCTCTCTCTCTCTCTCTCTCTCTCTTTCTCAATCTCTCAGATATATAAATAAATCTTAAACAGAAAAAAAGAAAGAAATATTCCCTCCTGGCAAGTAAGCTTTAACTTCAAGCTTAAAGGAGGGCTTTTCACTGGAAGGGAAGCATTATAATACAAGCTTTGGAAAAATAAGAAAAGAAACCATAATATAATTTGTCTCTTCTGAAGGACACTACTCTTTATATGTTAGAAAAATAGCTTAGTGAAAGTTTTACCAAATAAACTCATATATGATTTGAATTTATTTTTTTCAAAGTGAAAACTAAAACTCCATTTTTAAGTTTTCACAGATCAGGGAAAAACTAATGACGGGTTTACAGGGCTATAGGGAATCTTTTTAAATGCCCCATTCCACTTTTAACCCATGATAAACAACTCATGAGGAATTTAAAAACTAATAATAAAGCCTTCTGGTGACTTTATAGACTACTCTGTTCCTACTCTGGTTCTGATAACACTTTCAAAATAAGACTCCTGATCAGAGGCGCCAATATGGTCATGAGTTAATTTACGTTGCCTTCATGACAGAATGTTGATCGTAAAGAAGAATGCTTATTGATTAAAGCAGCTCAGTGAGGACAGATAGTGCAATAGAGATCTCATTCAGCTCTGCTGTTTACCAGTTGCGTGCCTTGAACAAATAACTTATCCTCTCTGAGTCTGTTTGCCTTCCCACAGATTAAAACATCTGAAGCTTGGGCAGCCCGGGTGGCTCAGTGGTTTAGCGCCGCCTTCAGCCCAGGGCCTGATCCTGGAGACCCGGGGTTGTGTCCCACGTCCAGCTCCCTGTGTGGAGCCTGCTTCTCCCACTGCCTGTGTCTCTGCCTCTCTCTATGTCTCTCATTAATAAATAAATAAAATCCTAAAAACAAAACAAAACATCTGAAGCTTACCAGGAGGATAAAATGAAATGGGTCTAGCACATGGTTAAGTACTGTAATGGTGGTTAGGTATTTCTGCTACTTGGAAGAAATTACTTAGTTCAGCAAGGAAACCTTTTCTTTTCTTTTTCTTCCCCAGCTTTACTGAGATATAATGATTAGAACATTGTGTAAGTTTAAGGTGTACAATATGATGATTTGATTCACATATATATTATTGCAAAACCACTTACCACCACAAAAATGTTAAGAAATCCATTACCTCACATGGTTACCTCTGGTGTGTGTTTATGTGTTTGTGTGTATAGTGAGAACATTTAAGATCTTAGCAACTTTCAAATATATCACACAATATTGCTAACTATTGTCACCATGTGTACAGATACCCAGCACTTCTACTTGGGAGTCTGTATACTTAGACCATCATTTCCCCCTCCCCACCCTCATCTCTGGCAACCACCATTGCACTTCCTGTTTTTATGAGTTCAACTTTTTAAAGATTCTATATGTAAGTGTGATCACACAGTATTAATCTTTCACTGAATACCTCACTCAGCAATATGACCTCAACGTCCATCCATGTTGTCACGGGAAGCAGAATTTCCTTCTTTTTTATGGCTGAGTAATATTCAATTGTGTATACAGCCAATATCTTTAACCTTTCACCCATCAGCAGACACTCAGATTGATTACATATCTTGGCTGTTTGTTTTCTTCTCTTATTTTCCACACAATATCTGACACACTGTTATCTCCTATTCTTGATCTTGTTTCAATTTCACTAGACTAGAGACTGATGGTTTAGACCATGCTGCTGTAATAGTATCTGACTCTCTATACTGACGGAGTTATCGAATCTTGATAAATTAGGAAACACTCCTTGGCAAATAAGCTTTAACCTTGAACAAACTCATATATCTTTATATCCAAAAGCAACATTTGAAAAACAAACAAACAAACAAACAAAAGGAACATTTGACGTCAACCTTTGCTGGCTGCCAACAAATCCCAAAGCTGACATGTGATAGCTGACATGTTCACTCCAACTCACCTGGCCTAGCTGGGGCCATATTTGGGGTCTCCAGAGCCCTGTTTTGCAGCAGGGCTCCCACGGCACTGGTTACAGTTGGCTCTTTTTTTGCCCTTGCCTACAGAAAGAGCAAGAGAGACAGGGAACAATTCTGTGACCTCAGGTAGCACACAGGAGGTAAATCTGTTTCCACTTGACCAGCAGCAGACTGGAGTCATCTCTGGGACCTGCTGCCCCCACGGGAAGGGGGCATGCACAACCTGTACCCTAGTTTGTCTGTCCTTCTGCTTTTCTCAGAGCCATGTCTGGGTTTTGGCACTTTCATTCCATAATCAGCCCCTCAGGGGAGTGGTGATATGTTAATCCTGTAAAATTAGTTGTATGGAGACATAAGAAATCACTTAATGTCAATAAGGATAGTTATGGAACATTTTAGTTTTTCATTTTACTTAAAGATGATTTTGTTTTTAAATACATGAACAGAGAAGAAAAACAGACATTGGCAGGCAGCAAATGTTTTAAACATGGAATTCCATCATCCCTATACCACACCCCAGCCTGCCGAGTAGCAGTAGCAGCAGAAGTTACATTAATACAGAATAAGGATCAAAAGGTCCTTTGGGAGCTTCTTACCTGGCTACTGGTCCCCACATTTCCATGGCAACTACTGTATAAAGATAACCTGTTACTTCATGGGAGAATTCTCACTTGAGCAAGGACAGTTATTAGACTACAGCAGGTAGCTCATCCCCATCCAAAGACAGCTATTTTCGGAGGCCCATATTGGTCTCTTTTGGTTAAGGGTATACACATTTTTAAAGTTGATTATGTTTAACATAGAGACACATTTCAGCTGTGCTATTAACAGCCCTTCGGAAGTAAAACAACCTCTCCCTTTTTGTTCCACTCTGAATAAGTCTCAGTATTAGCCAGAGCTTGAGTGGTGAAGCTGGTGAAGCTGGCATAAGAGAAACAAGTACTGCTGTTCAGATACAGGCTACAGTGAATTTCCTCAGAAAGCAACTAATTTTTCTTCTGTGTTCCCCATCACCACTTAGTTCTGGAAAACAAGGAGAGGAACAGGGCCAAGTCACTGGTTACACTCAGGATGGCCAGCTGGCCTTCGTCAGGAATAATAAGCACTTCCGTTTGCTGCTTCCCTGGGCTCCCTTTGGCTACACTAATGTTGACTTACTTTGTGGACTCATTAGAATCATTTGAAGAAATGTAATATATCCTTTACTGCTTTAAAAGGTATAGGTAGAGGTTTATTTAGAAAACTTCCAAAATTCGGTTGAATTCAAGCCCAAAGCAATCATATACACCACAAATTATGGTGCCTATCCTACCAAGAAGAAAGGACCATCATCTCCATCACATCCCACAGACACTCCATGTTTTAGCCCCACATGGTGAGCTCCTCAGGCCACAACTGGACATTTTGTGTATAATGTCCTCCCCAATTCCCACTCTAGGCCGGTGAACCTATCTAATACTCAAGGGGGAAATGCTGCTCCTCTGTGAAGCCTTCAAAGGCTCACAATGGCCTCTTCTTCCATAGTGCTCTGTACATGTCAACTACCACAGCTTCCCACTGCCTCATTTCCAAGTCTTTCTCTTTTGCCAAGTTACAAATGCTGATCAATCAGCACCCATCATGTCTGGGACAGAGCAGCAGTTACCGAATGTATGTGAAGATAGAACTTAGAGTCCACAGTTCGTGGGATATGCTACTGTTGGAGAGGCTCCCACCCCTATTACATACTGGATTTCATGGAAATCTTTCTAAATATGTTTCATACCCTCAAGTATTCAGACCAAGTTAATCTTTCCTTGGTGACTGAGCCATGTTTTGAAACTAACAGCTTTGGCAGTATACTGTAAGTTATATCCCTGGGACCTCTGATGTTTATGAACTGTTTGCTGGACTCCAGTTCTATTTTCATAAACCTACTGTCTTCCTGGTCAGGTTGTCATTTTACTTATCTGTACCTATTTATAACAGTTGCTTCCATTCATTTACTTTAACTTGCTGACTCTGTGGGTTTAAATAAAAGGCTACAGACTCCTCTTCTATTATAGAGCAAAACCCATGACCTATAGAACAGTCTTCCTTGTGATACCTTCCCCACTCAGGCAGCTTCGCTTCAAGTTTGCAATGCTTTTCTGGATGGTTAAGGCTGATAACTACCATTATATAAGACAGAGTTTTACCACAATACCATAGAAACACTACTTACATATTCAAGGCTTCATCCTAAGAACCTTCAAACACTGTAGAAATATCTTTTCTACAACACCCAAAGGTGCTGTTAGCTACAAAGCATCCTCAAAAGTCAACTTTCATGAGGGTGAGTGACAATGCTTATCTATCTTGATCTTTACATTTCTTGGGATGCAGAACTTCGTTTCCTTAGCAAATTCTACCTGCTTGCCCTGAGCACACGAAGGCACAGAGCCAACACTTGGGGAGAGATGCTTACCTGCACTCTGGATGCCAATTTGGCTGCTGTTTGGGCTGGATCAAAGACTCGGCGAGAAGACTGATCCTTGCAGAAGTTAATATGTCGGTTGGCTGCAGTTTCATTAAACCTCCTCATGCAATATGGGCATTGAATATAATCTAAATGCAAAGATAACAACAGGAGGCAATGCACATTTCAAAAAAAACCTCTGGAATGAACTATTTCATTTTATATGAAATAAATGGGATATGAACTCTGCTCCAACATAAAAGAACAAAGTCCCAGCCTCTGGTTTGAGAAAGCTTATGCCAGAGGGGAAGGTATGTAAGGGCTCAAAGAAAGGACATAGCATGGGGGACATTTTTCTGTCTGTACACTTATTTCAATTAAGAGTATACCCTTAAAATGTTTACTTGATATATTTTTTAGAAAATAGATTCATTATACTTAGGAAACTTCCCAATTAAATGATACAGTGACTTCTTATGTAAAAAAGGAGTCCTAGAACTAAAGAATGTTAATATTGATGATACTGAGGGACCCAGAAGACTCAGAGGCCCAGACTGTGGTACCGAGTAGGACAGGTCACACAGAAGTTACGGAGCTACTCTCCTTCCCTGTGGAGGGAGAAAGATGTTGCAAATTTATGAGTCTGGGGGATGGGATTTGAAGCCAGTGTCACTGGCAGAAAAACACACTGCTTCTGCAGGGGTTGATTCTTTTCACTGAACTCCTAAGTAAGGAGGCAAATAATAAGTTCAGGGAGGAGGTGAAGTAAAAGGGAAAAGGTGATTAAACAGGTTCAGCTTCCAGGGTTAGAACCTCCCAAGCAGCTCTGTGGGTACTAGACCACCAGTGCTTCTGTGGAATACCCACTGGTCTCCGTTTGGTTCTCAAATTTGCAATTGCTATACAGTGAGAGAAATAGGAAATACGAAAGATCCACGGTCATTTTAGAATGAAGAGATGCTCACAGCAAAGCCAGTTTGGAGCCTACCCCTGTAAAGTAAGCAGGAGTGTGAGATGTATTTTCATTTTGTTTTGTCTTAGGTACCTTTAAGGGATAACAAAGTGGATATAAGCAACATAAGAGAGTAACATTTCCTCCCTGCAGGAAAGATCTGAGACAGCTCCATCCTCAGACTCTGTATGGAAGTTTAGGTTAGTGTAGGGTCAAAATTCCTACATGTGTGGATGAATATTTGAAGCAGTGATGTTTTCAAGGTTAAGAGTTTTTTGAAGGTATCTTTTTAAACAATTTGAGTTTTCTGTTTGAACAAATCATTTCCTAAAATGAATATTCATAGAATTAACAATTGGAATATGTAAGAAATTGTAATATAGTAAAAAATGAGCACTTAGCCTAATCTTTTATTTCACATTCTGGAAGGCAGTACTTAATCTATATATTAATGGGGATCCCTGGGTGGCTTAGCGGTTTAGTGCCTGCCATTGGCTCAGGGCATGATTCTGGAGTCCCGGGATCAAGTCCCACATCAGGCTCCCTGCATGGAGCCTGCTTCTCCCTCTGCCTCTCTCTCTCTCTCTCTTTCTCTCTCTCTCTCTCTCTGTATATGTCTCCCATGAAGAAATAAATAAATAAAATCTTTTTAAAAATCTATATATTAAGAATATATATATATATATAGAATTAATCTTAATTCTATTAAGATTGAACACCTATTACATGCAGGCACTGGTTTATACTTGGGGGTACAAGGTCTCTGCAATCAAAGACTAAGCGTTCTAATACAGAAACAAAGTTTTCCCATGGTGATAAATTCCTTGAACAAAAATAAAATAGGACAGTATTGGGAAATGATGAAGGCCCTATAGCCTGCCTGACTGGTTTTGAGCCTGAGCCCTTCACTTGCTGTATGTATGAACTTCAGCAAGTTACTTAGTCACCCTAAGCTTCAATTTCCCCAGTCCCTACATATCACCTATTTCACCAGGCTGCTGTGAAAGGTAACTTAGATAATCCACACTAGGGTTCAGTATAGTAGGTGGGTAGAACATCCTATTACTCTGAGGAAATAGACCCAGAAAGATTGTGTTTCCAACTACCAAACAGGAATGAAACTGCTTATAAAAGTAAAATTGAAAGTGCCATTATTGTGCAGAACTCATTTACAATAATGTAGAAAACAATCTACAGCTCCGCTCTTGGTTTGGTGGTTTCTTCAGTTCTACCAGCTGAGGGTCAAGGCTCATATCAGAAATGCTGCTACCCTTAAACACACTCAGGGTTAATGTGCAAAGACAATGATTATAGCAGTGACTGCATGGCTTCCTCACTCCACCTGTTCGTTCATTGATTCATTGCCACCCTTCTGTGTGTTTGGCCACTATGGAGACAACAAAGCTGAACTGTATTTCCCTGCCAACAGAAATCTCAGAGACAACTAGAAGGCTAGGCAAAGAAGCAAACAATTACTACTCATGGCATAAGCTTTAAAAGGAGAAAGCACTAGGTCCTCCAGGAGCCCAGAAGAGGGACATGAAGCCCAGACTTAAAGGGGCAGAGGAAACTTCAAAAAAAATTTTTTTTGCAATGATAATCTGAACACAGCATAACTGAGTTGTATGTTCTACCCTCATCTCAATCTGAGTCACCTCTTCCCCTATCAATAATGGTGTCATAAACATCACTATGTGCTATTTATTTCAATACACAATGATTCTGACTACAAATGGATTCTTACGACAGTGGGAAGGTGGCCAGACCTCAAAAACATTAAACTAGAAACACAAGGATCATTTTAAACACAAGCATTTTGTCAAGTACCCATGTCTATGTAGCCTGTGAAATGGGGACCCAATGTCCCAGGCCTCACTGAGAATTTCAATTACAAATATTCTATATTGTTCTTATAAAGTGTTCCAACATCCTAGAAAGTTGAATGATTGGCGTACTTACTTAAGTCAGTAAGAATTAGAGTAAATAAATGCATGTCACAAAAACTGAGTCATGAAGTAAGGAACCATGCTGAGAAAAAAAGGAAATGACCTGCAAGCTCATGCATAATAGGCTACATTATATATCACCCCAGTTATGTCTGTATAAATTTTCTAGTATTTAAGCCTGAGAATATATGGAGTAATATAAAATCCCCACACAATCTAACTAATGGAGCAGTAATGAAAATATGCTATTTTAGATAATCGTTTTGTTTGATGCATAAGATTATAATAAGGGCACAGGGAAGAATTTAATTATAAAGCTATATTTTAATATAAGAATGTAAGGGCAAAAAAATTGTACACTTGATGAAGTCTTACAGAGGGAATTATTTATTTTAAGGAAAAAATAATCCCCACATTTTAAATCCAATGTGGAAATTAGAGAAATCCACACATTGGGACAGCTGACATAGTTTCATATGTTTGACTCAAGAACTATAAAGTAGATATCAACTCTGTAGCTTCTGCTATTAAAAGGAAGTATTGCTCATAAAAGATTTTTTTGTTGTATAAGGTTTATTGCCAAAGTTTTATCAAAATCACAGCCATAGATCTTTCTACTTTTATATTATTTTAAGCTACTTTTTCATTAGCACCCAGCAAAAGTGAAGCAATTATTAACATTATTTTCTGGCACACTAGAACGCCCACAACAGTTGTGGCCAGGCCTCTCAGCCAGCTGTGCTGGGAGCTAATCCCACCCACTAGCACACCCACAGCAGCTGCAGCCAGGCCTCTCAGCCAGCTATGCCAAGGGCCAGCCCCACCCACCAGTGCACTCACAGCAATTATGGCCCAGTCACATCAAGAAAGCACAAGCAGCCCACATAGAGCACACTCCTGGAGCTCCTGGTTCTGGTGACCAGGGTGGGATTGCAATACTCGGTACCACAGGATATGTTCTACATAAGGCCACTACCTTCAATATCAGGAAACATAACTGACCTACCAAGTACATAGAAACAAACAGAGAGTAATAAAAAAAGAGAGAAATATGTTCCCAGCCAAAGAATGAAAGAAAACCTAAACAAACAACAAAAAACAGCTAAATAAAATGGAGATAAGCAATCTACCTGATAAAGGGTTTAAAGCAATGGTAATAAAGATGCTCACTGGACTTGAGAGAAGAATGAATGAAGTCAATGATAACCTCAACAAAGACAGAAAATATAAGAACCAATCAGAGCTGAAGAATACAATAACAATGGAAAATGCACTAGGGAATCAACATAGATTAGAAGATGCAGAAGAATGGATCAGCGATCCGCAAGACAGGGTAGTAGAAATCCAAATTGAATAGCAACAATAAAAAATAATTTTTAACGATGAGGATAGGTTAAGGTACCTCTGGGGACAACATCAAGCATATTAACATTTGCATCATAGGGGTCCCAGAATGAGGAGAGCAGGAGAAAAAGGCAGAAAATTTATTTGAAAAAATAATAGCTAAAAACTTTCCCAACCTGGGGAAGGAAACAGACATCCAGGGCCAAGAATAAAACAGAGTCCCAAATAAAATGAACCCAAAGAAAGAATTCTACTAAGACACATAACTAAAATGTCAAAAATCACAGATAAAGAAAGATTCTTAAGAGCAGGAAGAGAAAAGCAACTAGTTACATTCAAGGCAATCCCCACATAAGGCCATCTGGTCATTTTTTTTTTGGCAGAAACTTTTTTTTTTAAGATTTTATTTATTTATTCATGAGACACACACACACAGAGAGAGAGAGAGAGAGAGGGAGGGAGAGAGAGAGAGAGAGAGGCAGAGACACAGGCAGAGGGAGAAGTAGGTTCCATGCAGGGAGCCCGACGTGGGACTCGATCCCAGGACTCTGGATCATGCCCTGGGCCGGAGGCAGGTACTAAACTGCTGAGCCACCCAGGTGTCCCATAGAAACTTTGAAGGCTAAAAAGGAGTAGCATGATCTATATTTAAAGGGCTGAAAGGAAATCACCTACAACTAAGAATACTCTACCTAACAAGGTGATCATTCAGAATTGAAGGACTGATAAACAGTTTCCCAGTTATGGCCCAGTCACAAGAAAGCACAAGCAGCCCACATAGAGCCCACTCTAACAAAAGTTAGAGTTCATTACCACTAAACCAGCCTTACAAAAAATGTTAAAGGGATTTATTTAAGTGGAAAATAAAAACCCATAACCAGAGGTAAGAAAATTATGAAAGAAACAG